CAACAACGCTCGTATTCCAGAGTGGCTTGCAAGCATAGACGAATCCTTGGGCGCAGCCATTTTCATCTCGTGAAGAGACCTAAAACAAGTCTTCTACTACTTAGGAAAGTGAGTCCCTACACCTTCGCATCAAATAGTTACGTTTCTAAGTAATTTTTGATTTTCTAGTGATTTACACTTAGAACTAGTGAACCAGACACATCCGCGCGAAGGAGAGGCGTACGAGACCAGAGACAGCTCCGCCTGCAGATCGGATCCCATCCAGCCATTCAATCTCCTCGCCCCTCCCCTACCCGCAAATCATTGTTTGGGAACGGTAGAGTTCCCGATGCGCTGCGCTCTCGCCACCATCACCAACTTGATTCTTTAACTCTAGTGGTATTCCACTAAACCTGACTTTATCTTTGGAGGGCCAAAGATAACGAGTTCAACGCGACGCCTAGATTACTTACTGAACGCTCCTTATCCCTCCCTGAGACGGAGCAAGCATGACATTCGAACATGGCACAGAATGGGTTACCCGTGGGATATTTCAATTTGAGACAACTGTCATATTGTTCTGTCTTGGACTGAGACACGACCATAATTGTGACAAAAAGGAAATATCTCTTAGAGCCCAGCCACCACCACGCTTAGTTCAGGTACGCTGCCACGCCTACTACATCCCAGGGATTTCATGTATAGCTGCAGTTAGGGTATGCCGTTCCCTGGGGAATAATCACGTGAGAGAGCGATAAGTAGGGTTACTTCCACGTTGCGACGAGTGCGGCGAATGACGGCCGAGAGCAGACGCTGTAACTGGCCCTCCCCGCAGTGACGTAAGACACCAATCGCTAATGGGACCAATACGTTCAACCCCTAGCGGTGCAGAGCCGTCCCGATCTCTTCTCCGCGGTCTGCGTCTCTCAAGTCGACAGCTCCTCTCCCTTGAAGAATATCAATGGAAAGAAATCTACCAACAATAATACTCTTTCTTCGCAATCGGTTGTGCGTGGATATATCCATACCATTAAAGTGCAGCTAGAGGAGAGGATGATCGATTCAAACTTCGATGCTTCATCATGTCCAAACAATGGAACCTGATTCACGGTCGAACATGACTCTTCACTCTTAAAGACACATAGTACGCTCATACACATTGAGGGTGTATGAGACTATCAGCCCCCAGATGTCGATGTGTCGTGGTCCCCCCGCCCAAACATGCCCGGGAATGGAGATACAGGGCCGTGAAAACGCTAATTCTTCCATGCTCCGCCCACTGCCTTTTTACGGCGCAGATTCCCGCCGTTGATAACATCCGTTGCAAGCGCGCCTGTCGCGTGCGGCTCCTTGGCACTTTGCCAAGTCCTTTAATTGCGCTCTCAAATACACAAGGAAAAACGCAATTTTCCTGATTGCGGGATACATTGGAGGGCTACAAAATAGAGGCAGAAGTATGATTGACGAGGGTCAGAACCTAAAAGCGACTGTGCCACTTCTGCAACATCCCTCGGAGGCCACGTATTTCCACGAAACATGAAAATAAAAACTAAAAACGGCATACTCGTTAGTTTAATACAAGCAAGACGCAATTTCCTGATGCGAATAAAATTTAAGGTGTTGCTCATGCTTCAAAATCCATGTACAATAGAGATGAAGATGACACAGGCTAGAAATGAAGCACAACTATGTAAATGTAAACAAAACAAAAATGAAAAAATCAAGGAAAGGCAAATTAGATAAACTGGCCTGTAAATTTCTACGATCCGGCGCCAAAGCCATAGAAATACTTAGAACAAACGAGTGGGACGCTTGGGCTGTTTTTATTTTCATGTTTTGTGGAATGCGCGGCCCTTGATGGATACTGCAGATGCAGCCGAGTTGCTCTTGAGTTCTGCCCCTTGTCATCATCTTCTGCTCTTATTTTGTAGCACCTCCAATGTTATCCGCATCAGGAAATTGCGTTTTACTTGTATTTGAGAGCGCAATTAAAGGACTTGGCAAAGTGCCAAGGAGCCGCACGCGACAGGCGCGCTTGCAACGGATGTTATCAACGGCGGGAATCTGCGCCGTAAAAAGGCAGTGGGCGGAGCATGGAAGAATTTAGTCGTCGTTTCACGGCCCTGCATCTTCCATTTTCGGCATGTTTGGGCGGCTGGAGACCACGGACACATCCGACATTCTGGACGGCTGATTAGTCTCATACATCCTCAATTGTGTAATGAGCGATACTATGTGTCTTTAAGAGATTTGTCTCGGAAAATGGAAATATTGACACGCTCATTAGCTAGCCTATGCAATTCGTTTCTAGGCAAGATGCCATAAAACCACTGTGATGACGAAGGAAATGCGTGGTATTTGGAAAAAGACTGAGTAATGCTGTTTCCTTCACTTCATCTCGCCATTATCAATTTTTCAAAAAAACTATCAGGAAAAAAGTGTATTCGGGGAAAAAAGATCGATTTCAAAGTTCACTGACTCACAGTAGCCATCCTGTTCGTCAGAAAAAAAATATAGATATGTTTCAGCTTCTTTAATGGATGATGAACCGAATACAACTGGCTGTGAATAGCCAGAAGGGACCACTTTATTTCATTTCATCGCCGGGAAAATCTTAGGAAAAAATGCCGGGGCATAAATCTGGCAAACCAAAGAAAAGAGGTGATACACCCAAGCAGTATACAAACAGCATGCAGTTGTGAAAAAGGGAAACCTGGTAAGGGACGTGGATTGGAACGCAGCCAGGGCAGTCTCTTCCATCAAGGCAGGCTCGGGTCGGCATCATTTGTGAAAAGGCAGCCGTGGCCCCACCAATGATGATTCGATTCGAGATCACCGCTGCGCTACAATCCACGCCTCTTCAGGTGCCCTCTCTTCAGCAGGAGAGAGAGGAGGAGGTAGGTCTTCCTTGCTTTGCGTAGCCTGAGTTGATAATAATTATTACACAGGCTTTCAAAGGAGTTTGGGAGGGAGGAGGGCCCAAATGGGGGGAGGGCGGTGGGGGCGCTGCACTCTCCACCAATTGTCTTCGTCTCTAAGCTTCCACAACTGGTGGCAATTGATGGCCCAGACCCACTCCCTTTGGAACGCCTCATCGCCAGCAGCGAACAAGACTGTATCTTGTACACGATGGGCGAGGCGACTTGAAGTACCATATATAGCAGAAAGTTAAGACGGCAGGAGAGTGAGGCAATGTCAGAGATGCGGAC